CAACGGGAGCCTCTCCTTCTACATAACAGATCTCCGAAGATTGAAATCTCCCAGAATTAAGATCCTTTGGGTCCTCAATATGAATTCCTGAATTGTAGCAAGTAGTTCCATATTTTCCCCTGGTTCCGCCTGGGGTGCGCAATAGACTAGTAGCACTCCTAACGGTCGTCTTCCCAAGGGGCCTTGGCCTGAATATTAGGTGTGGCCAGTTTTACTGGTGAGTCCCATTGAGTGTAAGCGGCCTTGACCAGCAGGAGTACTCCTCCGCCTTGTCTGCCGTCCACTCCATCTTGCCTNTGCCTATAAGCCGAGTAGTCTCTGGGCTTCTCTCCATCTTGTTCATGCCGCATCCACGTTTCAGTGATAGCTATTATCACCGAGTTTTGGGTACGCATCGCCAACTCTCCCAATTTTCCCCTAACACTGCAGGCGTTAGTGTACCACACTGTGACGGTGTCCACCTCCACCTGCATACAGCTCTTCCCTATTGCTTGGGATTTATCCTCGGACGTACGGACCGAAGAGCTATTACGTTTTTTGATACTATGTTTGCGGATACCGAGCGATCAGGCTCGGTGAACGACCAGGCTATACCCCCCACAGACTTTGTGATGTCTTTGTGATGTCACTTTTTATCCGACGGGTTTCAACGGGGTATATATTCAAGATGGAAAGACGTGTAAAGTAAGGAGTGGAGGACAAGCCGTGCACAAGTTTTGTCGCTTTTCGTTGTACACGTTCAAGGGCCGTACAGTCACTCACCAAGCGGGAGTAAGCAATTCGACACCCGTATTCCAATAATGGTCGGAAGTACGTGCTATATAGAAGCTGAAAGTCATCTCTATCTATTCTGGGAAGTGAGCGTTTTAGGAATTTAGGAACACGGAAGGCGGATCTACTGGCCTTTTGTTGGTGGTAGGAGAACGCGAGTGACCTATTCAGCCAGAAACCAAGAACCTTATGGTGTTCTGCACTCTCCATGACCTTGGAGGCGCTAGCCCTGAAGCTGTGCACCGGGACCCTCCAAAAAGACATACTAACGCATTTGTCGTTTTTTGGAAGGTTCCAGACAGTAGACCAGTCTTTGATTGCATCCATTGCTGAATGAACAGCCACGGGATCGGTGCCACAAAGTGTGACATCATCGGCGTACATTGCGACGTTGATTGTGATCCTGCGTGGCAGGTCACTAATATATATAAGAGGGAGAAGGGGATCAAGGACAGAACCTTGTGGAACTCCGGCAGGAATCAACTTGCGGCAACGGTAGTGTCATGTCAATCGGTCCAGACCTAGAATCGCGAGTTACACCTAGCGTGAAGCTCCCAACTCGTAGGCCCGTCAGTCCCAAAAGAGAAACCACCACCACCAGGACACCTCACAGACGAAGGCCTCCTGACGTCCTAAACTTTGTAATTTGATGACACGAGAGGTGTGATGCATTTGCGGCATGTCTCTGAGGCAAAGG